TTTTGTAATAATTGAATAGAAAAATATGCATAATTAGGAAATAATTTATTATAAAAATGAATATATCCATTCTCTTCCATAATTAATTGTACCAAATGACTTCATACCATAGTATTAACTTATTATTTTCTATAATATATTTTACGTGTCAGAAATGTCTCGTAAACAACATCACATCTCAGCTTCTTAGAAATTAAAATATCAATTTTATAAATAAAGGATCAATTATAAAAATATTTGATTCTTTCATATAAGAATACTTTTAGATGAAAATATATCATTATCAAAATTTTGTTTTTTGTGTATTCACTTAGTTAAAAATTTGATTCATAAAAATGCTAGTCTAGAAATGGTAAGTGATAATACCAATTTTATATTTTCACTAATTTTTTGCTACATCATAATAAGTTTTATCATAAAATTATATTTTATATAATTTCTTTCCTTTAATAATTTTATTTCGGAGAATACTATATTTATCTTTCACAAATTTGATTTTATAACATAATTAATTAATTTTATCACAACATAACAAATAAATAAATGAATTGCTTTTTAAAAATAAAAAATATAAAAACTCAACTAATGCCACGAAGTAATGAATTCTTTATTTGTCCTAAATCTTTTTAAGTAAATTGTTTCAAAAATTTGAAATCATTATTAAATTCCGATTTTAAAATAAAAAGAAAGGTCAATTCATCATTAATAAAATTTGTCACATAAGCAACCAATAAAGGCTTGTGATCTCACCTTAATATAGCCCACATAAGCTTGACACTTGGCAAATTTCTAGCAAACAGAGTCTCAAAAATTATATTAAAGGATTATATTGTTTATAACTAAAAAGAAATGTTTATACAATCCTTTTTTAATTATGAAATATTATAAAAGGTTAAGTGAAATTGTAACAAAAGTCACTCTAGCTTGGATGGTAAGGAACTCATCTAATTGACTAAGAGATCTTGGGTTCAAACCCCATGGTGGTATGCTTTTGGAAAAAAATTGCAAAAACAAAATTGGTCCGACTGGTTCGACCGACCGGTTTGTCTAAAAGGGTGACACATCAGCTGTGCTACGTGTCGTGCTTTAGCTCTGCCAAATGTCACGTTCTTGTAGCTCGGACGTTGAGCTCCAAATTATATCTCAAACATTGTGATAAGGAAAATAATGCTTCAAAAACAATAAAACATAAATATACTTAAAATCATGCATTTTATAAATAAAATGTAAACAATAGCCCAAAATGATAAATATAACAAAATATGTTTATTTAAATATAAAATGCATATAAAACATCTTAAAAGTACTAAGAAATGAAGGAATAAAATATGACATTTTGTGACTCAACACCAGTATTGTATTCTTATTCTGTTACTTTGTCCACCAATAGTTCAGCTAGGTAACCTATCCATATTCAAGTTCATACTCTCGTATTCTAAAGCTCATACTATACGTAATCACACTAAAGTTCATAAACATACATACTTAACAATTAGCAACCTAGCGTCGGGTGTAAACATCTTCCACTTATCGTCATGCAACACACAAGACCTCGAAGTAAATCCGGGATTCGAATCGGGACAAACAATCAAGAAAAAGGGCGGCTGGAGTCTAACACGGTACCTGATACGGTACCCTGGCCACGCAGTACCATGGTACCGTCGGTCCGGTACCCCCGACCATCCGAGTACAATTGCCGCCAGAGAAAATTGGCTTGTGGCGATAGTCGGGTATTGTTAGGCAATACCTAGCGACCGTCTAACATCAAGAATGTAGCAGAGTTTGATCCAACTCTAAATCATTCAATACGTATAATGTTTTTAAAGCTTATTGACACACAAACAATTGGAGTAAGAGAACATACATGGCCTCCTCGATTAATCAATAACATCATATATTTTTAAATAAATCATAATTCAAATCATAATCAAATCGATCACATAATCAATCATACGAGATTACGAACGTGAATTTCATACCTACACAAATAATCTAACGTTAGATGTTCACCTACTCACACCTCGATTAATTGAAGACGGATTAAATAGAATTCACCAATTAATCGGAGAAGATGATGGAGGACGATGGCGGCTGTTTTACTGGCGACCACGATCGCCAGCGATGCAAGAACGGCTGACCTTCTCCCTGTTTGAAGATCCCGACGGCAGAAAAAGGCTGTTCTGCGACTTCTCTCTCTTGCGTTCACATTTCAACTCTGTCTTCTTTTTCCGGTAGAAATCCGTAAATACTTTACAGTCTGAAACTCTGTATATTTGTTTTCTTTCTTTATCCATGCATGTTTTTATATGTATATACATGTATATGCAATATTCCGTGTTTGGGTGGGTTTAGGGTTTCTTGGTGCGTGACATAGGTAGAATAAGAAACTTCCCATATATTTTTATCGGTAAGTCTAAAATGACACCAGTGCTACTAGTGTCATTTGCTTACACCAGTTCGTTTGGGGTGCCTACGGTGCTCCGTTTGGAAAAATAACGGTTCCTACCCCCTAACCCTCCTCCTTAACCCCCCACCCCAACCCCACCCGAGCCCCCCACCCCAGCCCCCCCTCCCGCCCCCATCCCTACCCATGTCATGCACTGCCAGGGTAGGGAGGGGGGCGGGAGGGGGGCTGGGGTGGGGGGTTTAGGGGGAGGGTTAGGGCGGGTAGGAACCGTTGTTTTTACAAACGGAGCACCGTAGCCAAACGAACTGGTGTAAGCAACTGGTGTAACACCCTCCATCCCGTGAACGCAGTTCACCGCGGCCCAACAAGCCGGAGAGGTTACGTAGACGGTTTTAAGGTCATCTACAAAGAAAAACCCTTGCGTTGCTTGTAACAAAAAAATACCCTTGATATACTTTATTAATGTTGAAAATGAATCCAACAAAAGGAAACGTTTCGTAGCAGAAGTAGATATAAATGAAACTGTTAAGTCATAAATAACGTAAGTGCAACAACGGTGGGTTCAAGCCCAAAATAGGTTTTAAATAATAATAAATAACTAGTCGGGTCCACACTGTCGCTCATCCACCGCCCCGATCACCCAGTCGTCCGGGTCAGGCTCCATGATCCTCTGGCCTACCTGCGTATAGCAAAGGGAAACAACGCTATACGCTCAGCAAAAGATGAGTGGTAATCTAACCGTAGAACACATAGTACATTCACATTGATATAAACATAAGTGTACCTATACTAAAGTACGAGATACCACATACACGTTTAATGAATTATAGGTTATGAATAAACAGCGATGCAATGCCACATAATCATGATGCATGCGTTAGATTGCGCAGAGACCCCTGCCCTTTGATGATCATCCCCACGCGGTAGATGAGCCGAGTAACGCCTTAGTCATCTCGATGGAGACTAGAATGTGGGTGATAGCTAATCCTAGCTACCATGTACGTGCACAAGCCCTCGTGATGAAACCCGTTTGATCCCGAAGGCTCCTGGACCAGCCCACGGAAGAGGCGCACTAGGCTTGACCTCTTGTCGGGTATGCAAGTATGCCATGATCCTAAACATGCGTCTAGGATATACATGATGATATGAATGCATTACTTTGAAAAAATTTTGCAAAAAATTTTTGCAAAATTTTTTCGGAATTAAATTGCCTTTTCGAAAATAATTTTGCAAAAAGGGCATTTTTGTCATTTGGAATATTCTGGATTTTTTTATGCTGGCAGAATATCCAGAGTATATAAAATGATTTTATAAAATTTTATTAGATTTATTTGGACATCTAATTTAATTTTATGAGTTTTAGAAAATATTTACTGCCGTAGTATTTTTCTAGAACGGTCTGGGGTGAGCGCGGTTCACCCGGTGTATGTCTATCTCTATTGCTTGTGTGGATGTATGATATGCATGGTGGATGATTGTGGCTATAGTTTATTTAATTATAATACGGTTTGCGTGTCGTGCCTTATCTCTTAAACTCTTGTTGTATATCTATTTCTCTCTCTTACCTCAACCGAGGATTCTTTTCTCACGTGGTGGTTTGAAGACGGAAAGATTTGAAGACCGTTTGGAGAAATCTAAAAGAATGGAGATAGCCCGAAGTTCAAGTGCCCGGAAGCCAGTGGGAGATATCGTTTTATTTTTCTTTTAGGGGCCACAATCATTACACATTTATTTACTGCGTTTTGTGATCGAATGCATGTTGAATGTATGTTGAACTCTAGTAATGGACATGTGCGCGGCCATGTCGATAGGTGAGATCGAAATTATAAATCCCTCACGAATATTAAGCCCGTTGCCTTCTGACGCCCGGCACCTATTCGGCTAATGTGCACTGTCATGTACTCAGCCTCAGTAGAGCATAGTACGGTGTATGTTAAGCTGGTTACGGGAACCGCCATAGCGTGGTCGCTGTCGCACGTTGATTTAGACTTAACTGAGTCTCGGTCAAATGGATGGATGACTCAGAGGCAGTAAGTTGGGGTCATCAATGACAAGTCAGATGATTTTACTCACTCATCCAGCCAGGAGTTGGATCTTTATGATTTAATTGGAACTCTGTTCCTAACCAAAGTAGTCTGCTTGTAAGACGTTCCTCAGCCAATTACAAGTATGGTGAAAAGGTGTCCTGGTCCGATTGTGGTAATATTGTTCGCCCAACACCAGACCAAGAGCTGAGAGCCCGGCTCATCAGTTGGAACTATGTTCCTACCTAAATAGTTGTCTTGTGGAGTAACGCCCAAGCGGAACGCAAGATAATGAAATATGGATCTTGGCCCACTAGAGGTTTCGCCGGAAATCTCTGAATCAATATCGAGGGTTATTGATTTGTTAAAAATAGGGGAGATAATTAATTAAAGGCCTAATTATTTATTAAACATGATAGATAACCTATTTTGCAAAATTTTCTGTAGATGGCAAACAACAACAACCCTTTCAACCTGCGATATGTTCTAGAAAAGGAAAAATTATCTGGAACTAACTTTCTTGATTGGGAGATGAATCTTAAGATTGTTCTAGAATGCGAGAAAAAGTTTTAACATCCTAACATGATTATCTTGCCCAGAATCACGTACTAAAACTTATAGTGAGTAAGAAATTTATACCTTTCTCCGTAAGCGGTAAAAACGAAGAAGTCGTAGGAAGAGCGTTGAAAGTGCAAACGTAACCGTTCAAGCGTCCGGTCTCCAACTTTGACACACGAACAACGCCGGAGTCTACCACAATCTTTATGCTAGTAAAGATTATAGTAGTATAAAATATAAAGATTAAAATTGGGATAATAATAATCTTGTATATTTCTTATAGAAAATATTTCTAATAATATTTAGAAAATATTATAGATATTTTCTACACACAAATACTATAAGCAATAAGCAGTATCTAGCAACACATTACTGCCCCTAGATTATAAGTTAAGACGTTTGCACTGTCAAAACCTTTCCACGACTCAGACTCCGTGTAACTGTATCCCTTTGTCTCAATGTCTAAACGTAATGCAAGGGATTAATAAAATCCGATCCAGCTTGTATCCATTAAGTTATTCACTGATTTATCATGTCTTACTGATAGGAACAGACGTCATAAAAACATCTCAGCATGGCCATGCAATATCCTCAGTCATAACTTATCAGTGGGCCCCGTAAGACATTAATCTCTTTTAAAAGAGTAGTGACAAAAAAAAAGTGGACTTGTACATATTGACTTGGACATACTTGGACATATTGAACTATCCTACAGGTCGGATTTTCCGCCAACGGTGATTGGACATTTTTTTTCTTTCTTTATTTTGCCCGCTGATCCGCAAAGCCGTCACAGGGTTTGTAGATTTAATTACTGCACTTTACATTTCTGCATTTTTTTCTTTCTTTCTAGGGGTGCAAATTCGCTATTGGACATTATATCTATATACTATACATTATATATACTATATATTATATATTATATATATTATATATATTTTATATATTTTATATATATATAAATATATATATATATTATATTATATATTATATATATTATACGTATTATATATCTATATATTATTACTAACTCTTTTTATTTTTTGGTGTCCTCGTTGGTTTATTACCACTTGGCACTCTAACTGCTAACTACTAACGAAGGTATCACTTGTCTCGGTGGTTTTTACCTCTTGACTTAAGTGAAAGCCTTTTTATTAATTTTTGCACATTACATTTTTTTTTCTTCTTTTCATTTCCCCCTTTCCCTTCTCTTTTCTTTTTTTCCCCTTTTCCCCCTTTTACTTTCCTTCTATTCCCTTTTTCCCTTCTCCCTCTTCTCACTCCAACCTTCCCAATCCCTTTCTTTTTATGCTAATGCGTTCACGTGGGATTAATCAAGAAAAACTTTTCTTTCTAGAAATTGAAAAACATTTGAAAGAAATAAGAAAAAGAAAGAAAATGGAAGTCCCACGGAACAATGTTCTTGAAACTGTACAGGAAATTCCGAGAAGACAAAATGATGTTCCGAATAGGAGGACTCTTTCTGACTATGTCACTCCTCCTGTGGCGGAACATAACATCATTATTCCACCGGATGTCACAGCAAACAACTTTGAAATCAAACCTGCTGTCATCCACATGGTCTCATCTAATGAGTTTGGTGGAGGACCAACGGAGGACCCACACAACCATATCACCAAATTCCTCCGAGCATGCAACATGATCAAGATCCATGGTGTGCCAACTGATGCAATCAGACTCCGTCTGTTCCTGTTCTCTCTAAGGGACAGAGCTCAAAGCTTGCTGGATTCATTTCCAGATAATCACTTCACAACTTGGGACCAGCTTCATGGAGAATTTCTCAAGCGATTCTTTCCGCCTTCCAAAACAGCAAAAATCAGGTGGATGATACAAAATTTCAAGCAAAATCCAAACGAGCCCCTTTACGAGGCTTGGGAGAGATTCAAAGATCTTCAAAGGCAATGCCCACATCATAATATCCAAAGTAGGCACCTAATGACGGCTTTCTATGAAGGCCTAAATGAAAACTCACGGATATTGTTGGAAACCTCGGCGAGCGGATCATTCATGAGCCTTGAACTTGACGAAGCTGAAGAACTCATTGAGCGGATCTCAACAAACGGATCAACCTGGTACTCTGACCGTCCATCCGCTCAACCGAAAATTGGAGGCATGTACAAAGTTGATCAAATGTCAGCCATGGCTTCTAAGGTTGACAACATGATGAGCATCATCCAAAAGATTGCTCAAGTCTCTGCTGTGCAAAACACTACGCCAGCACCGCCTCATGTTCCTGTTCTCATGTGTGTATCATATGGTGGACAACATGATCAATCTTCGTGTCCATGGGATGCAATGGAGCAAGTTGATTATGTCAACTATAACCAACCGCAGCAACAACAAAACCCATTTGGCAGATTTAATTCTCAAAACAGAAATCATCCTGGTTTCTCTTAGAGAAATCCAAATGGAGCTCCCAATCCACAAGCTTATCGGAGTCCACCACCCGGCTTTCAAAATCAACAGCAACAACAATTTAGAGGTGGCCAAGGTTTTGCTAACAATCATCAGTTTAAGCAAAACCAAAGCTTCCCCTTTATTTCCAATCCACAAAAGTCGATCCTGCCAACTCCTGAAATAACATCAGCTCCCGGCTTGGATAACATTGTTGATCAGGTACTCAAATCTCAACTAGCCCAAGCCGAAACCTTGAAGAAGATTCCTGAAGAGCTTACTCAACTTCGAGCTCACAATAGGATGCTTGAAAATCAAATCTCTAGTCAAGCATCAACATCATCAACAAATGTGACTGGAAAATTGCCAACTTGTCCCTAGAATCCAAGAGAGCAAATGAATGCTATCACTACTCGGAGTGGGAAACAAATTCAATCTCCATCTCTTCCAAGTAGTGATCCTAAAGAAGAAATAAGAGAGGATGTCAAAGAAGAAGCTCAGGACAAAGTCAAAGGAGATGCTGCTGAAATGTTGCCGGAGTCAATCCAGATCAAAGAAGGAAAGAAAAAAGAACAAGAAGGTTTGGTAAGGAAATATGCTCCACCAATTCCTTTTCCAAACCTACTCAAGAAATCACATATTGAGGAACGAAGAACAAAGTTCTTGAACCGTATCAAGCAATTGGATATCTCTATTCCTTTACTTGATGCCATACCGAAATTCCTTCATATGCCAAATTTCTTAAGGAGATCTTAACAAAGAAGAAGGAAAATCCTCTCACGGTGGCCATGAGTCAAGAGTGCAGTGCCATTATCTAAAGTAAGATCACACCAAAACTACGTGATCCTGGAAGTTTTTCAATTCCATGCTACATCGGAGGATCTAAAGTAAACAAAGCTCTTTGTGATCTTGGTGCAAGTGTTAGCTTGATTCCATACTCTCTGTGTCAAAAGCTACACTTGGGTGATCCAAAACCGACAACCATGGCGCTACAATTAGCTGATCGCTCTGTGAAGTATCCAATCGGCATTCTTGAAGATGTTCCTGTGAAGATCGATAAATACTATATTCCAGGAGACTTTGTTGTCTTGGATATGGAAGAAGATGCCCGAGTTCCTATCATTCTCGGGAGACCATTTCTAGCCACTGCTGGAGCAATCATAAATGTGAAGAAGGGTACACTCATCCTTGAAATCAGGGATGACAAGATCGAGTTCAATGTGCCAGAGCTGAGTAAGAATGCTGCATGCATTCTTGATTGTTTCAACGTGGATATCATTGATTCATGTATTCTTGGAACTCTTGAGGAATCTCGTTTACTCTCAAGAGATCCAATGGAGTACACCATATGCCAATCTGTTGAAGAGAAACAATCAAATGAGATGGTGAACTCATGCTTGGAGATTTTAGATCATCTCTCTGAACCAATGGAGGGACCGGAAAAATTTGAAGTCCTTAATCTTGAAGAGGAGCCAATGCCCAAAAATGATGAAATACCTAAAGTAGAGCTCAAGCCTCTTCCCTCTACTTTATGGTATGCTTTTCTTGGGCCTGATTCTACTTTTCTGGTGATCATCAACTCTTCCCTAAATGCCGAGCAAGAGGAGAAGCTGCTTAAAGTCCTTAGGGAACACCGGAGGATAATTGGTTACACCATTGGCGATATTGTCAGAATCAGTTCTTCATATTGCATGCACCGCATCTATCTTGAAGAGGAACATAAACAAAGCATTGAGCACCAACGACGTCTTAATCCAAACATGAAATACGTTGTCAAGAAAGAAGTGCTAAAGTTGTTGAGAGCAGGAATCATCTATCCCATTTCAGACAGCAAATAGGTTAGTCTTATTCATGTGGTTCCGAAAAAGGGAGGAAATACCGTTGTTAAAAACGACAACAATGAACTTATTCCTACCCGAATGTTTACTGGCTGGCGCATGTGCACTGATTACCGAAAGTTAAACAAAGCCACTCGGAAGGATCATTTTCCTCTCCCGTTCATTGATCAGCCGCAGGAAAGAATGGTCAAACATTCCTATTTCTGTTTTCTAGATGGCTTCTCGGGATTCTTTCAAATCCCGATTCATCCTCATGATCAAGAAATGACGACATTTACATGTCTTTATGGCACATTTGCATACCGGAGAATGCCATTTGGATTATGTAATGCACCTACGACTTTTCAAAGGTGTATGATTGCTATTTTCTCATAATACATCAAGGAGATCATGGAGGTATTCATGGATGATTTGTCTATGGGAATTCATTTGAAGATTGTCTAATGAATTTAGACAAAGCGCTGAGCAGATGCTAAGAAGCCAATCTTACACTAAATTTGGAGAAATGCCATTTCATGGCAACAGAAAGAATTGTACTTGGCCACAAAATCTCTGAAAGTGGTATTGAAGTTGATCCAGCGAAGATTGAAGTCATTGAAAATTTGTCATCACCAAATTCTGTAAAAGGAATTCGGAGTTTTCTCGATCATGCTGATTGTCAAGAAGCTTTTTCTAAGCTGAAGATGGCCTTAACAAGTGCTCCAATTATAAGGCCAAACATGAAAGACGTTGTCAAGGAGCCAATGCCCAAAAATGATTACTGGCTGGCGCATGTGCACTGATTACCGAAAGTTAAACAAAGCCACTCGGAAGGATCATTTTCCTCTCTCGTTCATTGATCAGCCGCTGGAAAGAATGGTCAAACATTCCTATTTCTGTTTTCTAGATGGCTTCTCGGGATTCTTTCAAATCTCGATTCATCCTCATGATCAAGAAATGACGACATTTACATGTCCTTATGGCACATTTGCATACTGGAGAATGCCATTTGGATTATGTAATGCACCTACGACTTTTCAAAGGTGTATGATTGCTATTTTCTCAGAATACATCGAGGAGATCATGGAGGTATTCATGGATGATTTCTCTGTCTATGGGAATTCATTTGAAGATTGTCTAATGAATTTAGACAAAGTGCTGAGCAGATGCTAAGAAGCCAATCTTATAATACTAAATTGGGAGAAATGCCATTTCATGGCAACAGAAAGAATTGTACTTGGCCACAAAATCTCTGAAAGTGGTATTGAAGTTGATGTAGCGAAGATTGAAGTCATCGAAAAGTTGTCACCACCAAATTCTGTAAAAGGAATTCGGAGTTTTCTCGATCATGCTGGATTCTACCGCCGTTTCATCAAAGACTTCTCTGAAATCTCAAAACCCTTGACAAATCTACTTTCCAAGGATGTAGATTTTAATTTTAATGTTGATTGTCAAGAAGCTTTTTTTAAGGTGAAGATGGCCTTAACAACTGCTCCAATTATAAGGCCACCCGACTGGAACTTACCATTCGAAATCATGTGTGATGCCAGTGATTATGCAGTCGGAGCTGTGTTACGCCAACGCAAGGGGAGAGAAGCCTATTCCATATACTACGCGAGTCATACTCTTGATGATGCACAACTCAATTATGCAACAACTGAAAAAGAGTTTCTTGCGGTAGTCTTTGCCATTGAGAAGTTCCGATCATATATCATCGGAAGAAAAATTATTGTGTACACTAATCATGCTGCTATCAAATACCTCATGGCAAAGAAAGACTCCAAACCAAGGCTCCTAAGATGGATTCTTTTACTACAAGAACTTGATATGGAGATCAAAGACCGGAAGGGGTCGGAAAATGTGGTTGCGGACCACTTATCAAGGTTGGAAATTCCCGAAGCAAGAACTATGCCGATCAATGATTACTTCATCGGAGAACAACTTATGCTGGCTAAAAGTATTGATCCATGGTTTGCTAACATAGCGAATTATCTTTCAAATGGAATAATTCCAACCGGAGAAACTCATGCAGAAAAGAAGAAGTTGCAATATGACTCTCGAACTTACATCTGGGAGGAACCATTCCTCTACAAAATTTGTGTTGATGGAGTCATACGAAGATGTTTGCCCGAGGATGAAGTTACAAATGTCTCTTACATCATTACCATTCTTCCGCCTACGGAGGACACCATGGTAGCTCCCGCACAGTAGCAAAGGTGTTACAATCTGGTTCCTTTTCGCCTACTCTTTTCAAGGATGCCAACACCTTTATTAAAAGCTCCGACCGTTGTCAACGCACTGGAAACATTGGGAGGAGAAATGAAATGCCTCAAAGGGGCATTCTTGAAGTTGAAGTATTTGATGTATGGGGCCTTGATTTTATGGGTCCATTACCGAAGTCAAATGGAAAGGAATTCATCCTCGTGGGTGTGGATTATGTATCAAAATGGGTTGAAGCAATTGCCACGTCCACAAATGATTCAAAAGCGGTGATCAAATTTATTCGAGGGAACATTTTCTCTCGATTTGGAGTGCCAAGGGCAATCGTCACCGACAATGGCACCCATTTTTGCAATAGAGCATTGGGACGAGTTCTTGCAAAGTACGGTGTTCATCACCGATTCTCGGCCCCGTACCACTCGCAAACAAATGGTCAAGTCGAGCTTTCAAACAGAGAAATTAAAAGCATCCTTGAGAAGGTTGTTAATCCTTCAAGAAAGGATTGGTCTGAAAAGCTTTACGATTCATTATGGGCATACCGCACGACATTCAAAAATCCCATTGGCACCTCCCCATATCATCTTGTGTATGGGAAGGCATGTCATCTACCTGTTGAGCAAGAACACAAAGCATTTTGGGCGGTTAAAAATCTCAACATGGAACTCTCAGTGGCGGGTGAAAAGAGAATGTTGCAGTTGAATGAGCTCGAGGAGTTCAGACTCGCAGCTTATGAAAATTCCAAAATCTACAAGGAGCAAACCAAACAACTGCATGACAAGGTAATCTCTAAACGAGATTTCGCACCAGGAGACCATGTACTTCTTTATAACTCTCGCTTTAAATTGTTCCCTGGTAAGCTGAGGACCCGGTGGTCCGGACCATTCGAGGTAATGGAAGGATTTCCCTCCAGAGCTGTGCAACTTTGTGGCAAAGATAACGCCAAATTCATTGTAAATGGGCAACGTTTGAAGCGTTATCTTGCCAACGATCACCAAGAGGGAATGCTACTCCATTTCCTCGAAATGCCTGAATATAAGTGATTGCATTGGTAAAGCTAATGACCATAAATAAGCGCTTCTTGGGAGGCAACCCAAGTTTTCAAATTTTGATTTTTTTAATAAGGTAATTGAATTTCAATAAGGCATTTTCCACGCCATGTACAAAAAAAATTAATTTACCAATTTTTTTAGGAATTGTTTACTTATTTCTCCTTCATTTATTTTACACTGAGGACAGTGTAAATTTTAAGTGTGGGGGAGTGGGTAAATAAAACTTGATTATTTATGTGCATTTTCAAATAAAAAAAGAAAAAAAATTATTATTATTATAATTTTTCATTTTTGTTTTGTTTTTTGTGTGTTTGTGCTAAATAATGAACAGTCTTGATCCAAAAAGTAAAATTGAACTTACAAACTCTTTGTTTATATGTCTTGTTAATATTTATATACATAACCTTGTAAATTACAAAATCATCTCTTTTGACGGAATGTGGTATGAGTTTGAGAATTGTTTCATTATACATCTTGAGAGTAACTGTGTCCGAGCCTTGAGTTAATTTCTGTTAATAATTTAACATAGAATACCATAGAGTTTTTCCAATTTATTGGTTTACTAGCTAAATTTAGTTATAACGTTTATAGACCATTACTAGATCTATTTAACATAGAATACCTTTCTCTGTTTTAATTTCTCTGTAAAGGATGTTCCCTTTTGAGCCTTTTTCTGTAAGTAAGTGTTACCACTTATCTCTTGTTTGTCATTTTTTTCTTCTTACCCTGTAAATATTTAACCCTAAACCATTTTGCCAAAATAAAATATCTCTTCACCCAAGAGTAGATTGACTTATTATTTGATAAGGAACTTGAAAAAAAAAAGAGTTAATGATTGGAGCACTGTGTATTTTTTGTAAATAATTAAGTATGTCATATTCTTTCTTTTGTATTAAAGTTGTACATTCTTTGTCTTTGTAAAGATAATAATAACTTAGTGTGCCTTCAAAAAAAGAATAATAAAAAGGATAAAAAAAAAAGTAAAAAAAGTTTTAAAAAAAGAAAAAAAGTGCAATAAAATAAAAATTAAAAAAAAGTTGAAAAAAAAGAAGCACACTAATCTTGAACTCTTTAGATTTTTAGAATTTATTCTTCTTGGGCATAAAAAAATAAATAAATAAAAAATGCTCGTACCATTTACTGTAGTCTTCGTAAAATAATGGTCATTTTTCACTTTCGAGTCATTTGTTTATCTTGCTCCATAGTTACATTTGTAGTAATTTTTGAGTTCCTGATCAAAATAAGTATAATCTATTTTTTTTGTCCTTTATACCCTTTCTTTGTTTACCCATATTACCCTTAGCCCTGTTACAAGCCGAATAAAAGTCCTAATTGATCTTTTTGTGTCATTTTTAAAAATAATTGGATTGGAGAAACTTGGTTTGTATTAGTTTGACTAATTTAGCACTATAGGTGTTTATGTTAGATTATTAACATGAAAGTTTCTCGGATAGGCAATATTACTCAAGTTACTCTCATTTTATTATTTTGTGACAATTCATGGGTCTTGGATAGTTCGGTGGACAAAAGAGATAATTGTGTGATTTTTAAAATTATGTATGTGAATTCTAACAACACATGTAAAGATTGTATTTGTAGTTTATTTTGCTTGAGGACAAGCAAAAGCCTAAGTGCGGGGGAGTTGATATACACATATTTTATACACTTTTTAGGCATATTTTGAAGGAGTTTTGAGTCCCAATTGAATTAATGTTTACTTTTTATGTCAATTTTCCGTTTTATTTTGCTAGAGCGATCCTATGCTTGGTTTTATATGTTTTGCAGGTATTTTAAGGTCATTTGGACGCATTGATAATAATTGCAAGAACGGAGAATAAACATGCAAATTTGAGACAAAAAGAAATGGAAGAAATTTTAAGAAAAGAAGGAATTAAATAAAAAGAAAAGGAGAAAAACACCATTGGGTTTTGAACCCTGGACTTCGGGTAGTGGATCAAAATAAGACCCATCGCGCCACCGGATATTGTTCGTCACATTGCTGGCGGTTACGGTTTTTTTTTCTGTTTTAAATTCGGCCCATGAATTGAGAAAGAAAAACGACAAACAATTAGGTGGGAAGCTTCGAACACGGGTTACGTTGCACAACAACAAACTGCATTTCCATGTGCACTACAGGAGATGTTTTAACATATTATACTACTGTTTGTATATAGTCCGTAAATACGAATTTATCTATAAAATTCCATCGCCTCTCTTCTCCTAAGAGGTTGGAACCCCCATTTCTCTCCTCTCTCCAATCTAAATTCTCCTTCTCCATCACTAATATCTCACCACTTTCTTCATCCAAACACAAAAATTACTCCATCTTCATCATCATTTACCATATTTGGTGCTCAAGAACACATCTTCCCTTTTTTAAGATTTTTATGTTTGTAATAAATATTTATTTGTTTAAATTTCAAACTATGTACTGCTAAATTCCATTGGGGTTAGAAGTTGTTGTAATTAATTGTCCATCTTAATGTTTTGAATATTTTAATATGGATTGTTAATTTTATTTTATTTAGATGTTGTATTTAAAAATAAATAAATTTGGAATGTTTGTGATTTTTAATCAATCGCCCAATCATAAACATAATTGTTACAAGGAATATGAGCTAAAATTGATATAATCATAACATAGAACACTTTTTAAATAAACTGTAAACCTTCTGTACCTTTAACTGGGATTGAAGACTTTTGGGTGGACATAATTATTGAGTTGTATTTTTACACCATTAAATTGGGTAAACATAAAATAAAATAATTATGGTTGCCGTTGTTACTAAATAATTACTCCGGATTTATCATTAGCGTGTTAAAGTAGGAGTAGTTATTATTTAGGTGAACTGCGAGAGCGTTCCTAAATATTTTTCTGTAACCCCACACATTCTATATAAAAATAAATTGATAATCCAACTTTTATAAAAACATTGGAAAATTAATTTACCAATTTCTACCCCTAACTTTTTATCATCAAAAACTTTGTGTTGTTCGGAACTCTCTCTTTTTATACTTTTTATTTTATCTCTAAAACCAAAAAGACCAAAAAATATTTTACAACTTCTTTTGTAAACTTTTGTTAAAATTAAATTAACTCACGTCTCCCTGAGGTTCGACACCCTACTTACAAGGGTTCTTTTTAGTTGTTAGTTTTGCCCATTTTATACTGCAAATCACTTATCTGTGTGCATGTGTTTTGAGTGGACATTAGATTAACAAATTTCGGGGACGAAATTCTTGTAAGCGGGAGAGAAATCTAACGACTCGAAAACCAGCTTCGTAGTGAGCCGTTATTTTTATAGAAATAAATGTAATATTTTATTATATTTATAGTAAAAAATATGAAATATTTGTACAGTTGACCTTTTATGTAAAAATTACATTTTTGGGTAAATCTCGTAAAATGATGAGCAACAGTTTGTTAAGTATAGACTTACGTGTAAAGCATGATACAGTTCAACAAATAAAAATAAAGTTTGAAAAATATAATTATAACAATATATAGGAAGTTTCCTATTCTTCCCAAGTCACGCACTATGAAACTCCAACCCACCCAAACACAGAATATTGCATTTGCATATATATTTGATGCCGTAAAAAAACAAGTTTGTTTGATCAGGCTTAAAGTATTTGAATAGCGATACAATGTTTGGTTTGTCGATGTCATAATAATGGGGAATAATATTAAAAATTTAGCAATGAAATGTTTCACACTGCAGCAAACTAAATTTTACTGCAACAATGGGTTTTTTTAACTTGTCCAAATGCATAGAAGAAAAGAATAATTACTTTAAAAAACTGTATGCCATAGCGCAATCAATAATAACCTTCAAAAACTTCATTATGGAAATTCGGCAGGAGAGGTTTGATCAGCTGGTAGCTCTTGAATCGCGCCATATCCTTCGGGCAATGTAAACATGGCGGCTTCTTCAGACAAGCCTTTGAATGAGAGAGCTAATGAGTAACCTAAAGCTTTGGCAACTAGAACAACAACTGCATTTCCCACTTGTTTGTACTTGTCTTTGATGGAGCCACAAAGCTTGTAGTAATCAGGAAATCCTTGTAACCGCGCGTTTACTCTGATTGTGAGAACTCGGTCTTGGACAGGGTGACAAATGGCCTGATTGTGAGGCTCAGCCCTGCTGACAATGGTTGGGACAGTTTCATCCCACCATTATCATTTGAATGGCTTGGTCGAAGTCCCTTTCACAAAAGAGATAGCATAGTTAGGTACCAATGGCTTCCCAGAAGGCTAATACACTCTTTCGACATTTGGATCCAGCTCAACCTTATTGCCAACCACGCGAACACCAGGTAAATCTCTGAAATATGCGCCCTTCCTCTTTGGAACATGGCATACGCGTTGATAATCGTCTTCATTCAACTGTAATGGACAATGATCATACAAAACTTGTCCAAGCACACCATCTCGCCCAAGTCTTATAAACTGCTGAAAATGAGTTTTTGGATCATCAACATAATTCATCTCTTCTCTAACCTCAGTATTCTCAACCTTAGGAAGATCGGAAATGGCATCTTCAAGAAAGAGTGCGTCCTTTAGGTTGACATCATGGTTTTCATAATCAACATTGTTGCAATCAAACTCTTTGGAAATGACGCCTCTACTATCAACTTTGTGGGCTCGCAAAGGAAATTTTGACACCTTCTCTCCTTGAAGGGAACCCCACAAAAAGACACGCATGCGAAATTGTGGGAGGCCATATGCTCCACCTGCAAGCATACCCATCCGTGCGTGATAATTCATCCCTACAAGCCGGCTTAAAGCATATTTCACAAGAAACCAACTTGGAAATTTTAAAAGATCAACAACATTCTCCATCAACACAAACTTTGGCCTTAAAAAATCAATCAAATCCATGAAAGTTTTCATTTACTCATTTTTTGGATCCTCCAAAGAATTCTTAAAGTTCCTAAATCGATTGAAGCCACTTATTCCTAGACAAGGTGGACTGCTGCAAATAACATCAACATGTCCTGGTAGAGGCGGTCTTTTTTATTTAAAGCCATTGACAACAAATTCTTTGATCTTTTGAGGGAAACCACTTAATCCCTCTATTGGTTCCCATGTGTCATAATCATCATCATACCCCTTGCAATGTATCTTAAAATATAGGCCAGAATAAATAGACTTTCTTCCAATGTATCTTATTCTGGCCTATATTTTAAGATACATTGGAAGGGGTATGATGATGATTATGACACATGGGAACCAATAGAGGGATTAAGTGGTTTCCCTCAAAAGATCAAAGAATTTGTTGTCAATGGCTTTAAAGAAAAAAAGACCGCCTCTACCAGGACATGTTGATGTTATTTGCGGCGGTCCACCTTGTTTAGGAATAAGTGGCTTCAATCGATTTAGGAACTTTAAGAATTCTTTGGAAGATCCAAAAAGTGAGCAAATGAAAACTTATATGGATTTGGTTGATATTTTAAGGCCAAAGTTTGTGTTGATGGAGAATGTTGATCTTTTAAAATTTCCAAGTGGATTTCTTGGGAGATATGCTTTAAGCTGGCTTGTAGGGATGAATTATCAGGCACGGATGGGTATGCTTGCAGGTGGAGCATATGGCCTCTCACAATTTCGCATGCGTGTCTTTTTGTGGGGTGCCCTTCAAGGAGAGAAGCTGCCACAATTTCCTTTGCCAGCCCACAAAGTTGATAGTAGAGGGAGGCGTCATTTCCAAAGAGTTTGAGTGCAACAATGTTGATTATGAAAACCATGATGTCAACCTAAAGGACGCACTCTTTCTTGAAGATGCCATTTCCGATTTCCAAGGTTGAGAATACTGAGGTTAGAGAAGAGATGCATTATGTTGATGATCCAAAAACTCATTTTCAGCGGTTTATTAGACTTGGGTGAGATGGTGTGCTTGGACAAGTTTTGTACGATCATTGTCCATTACAGTTGAATGAAGACGATTATCAACGTGTACGCCATGTTCCAAAGAGGAAGGGCACAAATTTCAAAGATTTACCTGGTGTTTCTCGTGGTTGGCAATAAGGTTGAGTTGGATCCAAATGTCGAAAGAGTGTATTTGCCTTTTGGGATGCCATTGGTACCTAACTATGCTATCTCTTTTGTGAAAGGGACTTCGACCAAGCCATTCAAAAGATTATGGTGGGATGAAACTGTCCCAACCGTTGTCACAGGGCTGAGCCTCACAATCAGGCCATTTGGCACCCTGTCCAAGACCGAGTTCTCACAATCATAGAAAACGCGTGGTTACAGGGATTTCCTGATTACTACAATTCTAGGTTTTTGCCCGGAAACATAATAAATTCAAACTTAAAAATTAATTAAACAAAATCCTTAGGCAGCATCCATCCATCCCCTCATCCTCGCTGTCCTCCAGGATTAGTTCCTTATTCGTCATTATTCCTGTTACCTATATGTAGTAAAGAGGAAAAATGGCTACACGTACAACGTTGAAGCTAAGTGTGAAATATCTATCGTTTTGAATATGCATATTGATGAACTCACTTGCTCATAATTTCATACAATATCGTGCACACAAGAACAACATCAATAATATCAGTAATATCAAACAACCCATAAATCAAACCTACTTACTTGGATTACCAAGTTTATGTCATTCGCAACTTAGGCATTTATGACACAAAATCCATATGCAAAGCTCATAAATAATATTTCTTAGTTTTAAGCTCATAACATATCCTAGGCTAAGGCCAATTCTTTATTCTTTCTCGAGTCCTTATTCAACCACATCCATGGAAGAACTCGCCCGATACAACGCAATCCAATGTCGGCTGAGTGGGACCACCAACTCACATCCATGAATAGATCTACGAACCCCGTGCACACGCTTTACCCAACTGATCATGCATGCAGGCTGATTCATCAAATGACCAGTATTGTATTCTTATTCTGTTACTTTGTCCACCAACAGTTCAGCTAGGTAACCTATCGATATTCAAGTTCATACTCTCGTATTCTAAAGTTCATACAAAATCACAGTAAAGTTCATAAACATACATACTTAACAATTAGCAACCTAGCGTCGGGTGTAAACATCTTCCACTTATCGTCATGCAACACACAAGACCTCGAAGTAAATTCGGGATTCGAATCGGGACAAACAATTAAGAAAAAGGGCGGCTGGGGTCTAACACGGTACCTGATACGGTACCCTGGCCAGGCAGTACCATGGTACCGTCGGTCCGGTACCCCCGACCATCCGAGTACAATTGCCGCCAGAGAAAATTGGCTTGTGGCGATAGTCGGGTATTGTTAGGTGATACCTAGTGACCGTCTAACATCAAGAACGTAGCAGAGTTTGATCCAACTCTAAATCATTCAATACGTATAATGTTTTTAAAGCTTATTAACACACAAACAATTGGAGTAAGAGAACATACATGGCCTCCTCGATTAATCAATAACATCATATATTTTTAAATAAATCATAATTCAAATCATAATCAAATCGATCACATAATCAATAATACGAGATTACGAACGTGAATTTCAGACCTACACAAATAATCTAACGTTAGATGTTCACCTACTCACACCTCGATTAATTGAAGACGGATTAAATAGAATTCACCAATTAATTAGAGAAGATGATGGAGGACGATCGCGGCTGTTTTACTGGCGACCACGATCGCCAGCGATGCAAGAACGGCTGACCTTCTCCCTGTTTGAAGATTCCGACGGCAGACAAAGGTTGTTCTGCGACTTCTCTCTCTTGTGTTCACATTTCAAATCTGTCTTCTTTTTCCGGTAGAAATCCGTAAATATTTTACAGTCTTAAACTCTGTATATTTGTTTTCTTTCTTTATCCATGCATGTTTTTATATGTATATACATGTATATGCAATATTCCGTGTTTGGGTGGGTTTAGGGTTTCTTGGTGCGTGACATAGGTAGAATAAGAAACTTCCCATATATTTTTATCGGTAAGTCTAAAATGACACCAGTGCTACTAGTGTCATTTGCTTACACCAGTTCGTTTGGGGTGCCTACGGTGCTCCGTTTGGAAAAATAACGGTTCCTACCCCCCTAACCCTCCCCCTTAACCCCCCACCCAAACCCCACCCTAGTCCCCCCACCCTAGCCCCCCCTCCCGCCCCCATCCCTACCCATGTCATGCACTGCCAGGGTAGGGAGGGGGGCAGGAGGGGGGCAGGAGGGGGAGCTGGGGTGGGGGGGCAAGGGTGGGGCTGGGGTGGGGGGTTTAGGGGGAGGGTTAGGGCGGGTAGGAACCGTTGTTTTTACAAACGGAGCACCGTAGCCAAACGAACTGGTGTAAGCAACTGGTGTAACACCCTTCATCCCGTGAACGCAGTTCACCGCGGCCCAACAAGCCGGAGAGGTTACGTAGACGGTTTTAAGGCCATCTACAAAGAAAAACCCTTGCGTTGCTTGTAACAAAAAAATACCCTTGATATACTTTATTAATGTTGAAAATGAATCCAACAAAAGGAAACGTTTCGTAGCAGAAGTAGATATAAATGAAACTGTTAAGTCATAAATAACGTAAGTGCAACAACGGTGGGTTCAAGCCCAAAGTAGGTTTTAAATAATAATAAATAACTAGTTGGGTCCACACTGTCGCTCATCCACCGCCCCGATCACCCAGTCGTCCGGGTCAGGCTCCATGATCCTCTGGCCTACCTGCGTATAGCAAAGGGAAACAACGCTATACGCTCAGCAAAAGATGAGTGGTAATCTAACCGTAGAACACATAGTACATTCACATTGATATAAACATAAGTGTACCTGTACTAAAGTACGAGATACCACATACACGTTTAATGAATTATAGGTTATGAATAAACAGCGATGCAATGCCACATAATCATGATGCATGAATTAGATTGCGCAGGGACCCCTGCCCTTCGGTGATCATCCCCACGCGGTAGATGAGCCGAGGAACGCCTTAGTCATCTCGATGGAGACTAGAATGTGGGTGATAGCTAAGCCTAGCTACCATGTACGTACACAAGCCCTCGTGATGAAACCCGTTTGATCCCGAAGGCTCCTGCACCGGCCCACGGAAGAGGCGCACTAGGCTTGACCTCTTGTCGGGTATGCAAGTATGCCATGATCCTAAACAAGCGTCTAGGATATACATGATGATATGAATGCATTACTTTGATGAATGAAGTTCAGCACACACTTGTACGTTTGATTACATATGAAATGATTTGTACAAAATGATGACCTGGGTTCAGAACTGGCTGATAATCGATTATCCCTTCCTGATAATCGATTATCTCACATTGCAGCTTCTGTTCCCAAAGTCCTGCAGCTTGTGTGAGTCGATTGTCACTTTGTGACAATCAATTGTCACGTTTGTTTGTTCGGGGAATCCAAGTTCAGAGAGGCTTGATAATTGATTAATACATGGTGATAATTGATTATCAATGAAACCAAGCTCTGACTCAAGAATCAGCAGGGCGTGATAGTCGATTATCACCTCTGTGATAATTGATTATCAAGCTTTACTGGTTCAACTGAGGAGTTCAGCGTGACCCAATAATCGATTATCAAGGTCTGTAAATCGATTACTAAGGCGCGCTGATTCCAAGTTTGTCCGTTGGTTTTTCATGAAGACGTTAAGAGTCTTAGAAATGAAAGTTTACGTTTCCGGCTTATGTAATCAATGAGTTTGCAAAGTTTCATAACGTTTATATTATTAAGTGCGTAATCGAAAGGTCTAACTAACGAAGAGTCATGATAACGTGGATGCACGTAGGTTTAGCCGGGTAATCCTATGAATATAACGATATGATTATACTATGAATTCTAAACTTAGAGAGCAACGTACTCACCCCTAACGAAGGGTACATAAGCGAAATGAACGGATGGATGACGATGAACGATGAACGGACGAATGAATGAACGGCTTCTCGCGTAGCCCTCCTTCTCTTCTACCTCCTCGTCTTCTCGTCGGAAAAACTCCTCGCCTGGCTACCGCTGTGGTTGGCCGAACAACAAGAGAGAGAGGGATAGTTGTGATGTTGAATGGGAGTTACAAGTTGGTGAAGGAGGTGAAGGGAAGAGGGAGTTTTATAATCATGAGAAATTATGGGAATTTATGGAGGAATAATGGAGAAATAATGATGGGATATGAATGGGGGGTTATGGGAAATGAGACGGTGTGGCGTGGAAGGGGTTTGAATGGGAGTTATCTCCCTAAATTCCACTCCGTTATGTGAAATTTGACCTGAACGGTACACGGTTTTTCCCCCGAACTCGTCTAAATCGAGAACTGATTGCATTTTCAGAAATAGACAATCAAAACTGAATTTATGATATCTTCAAAATATTTTTCTCAAAACTTAATTTTCAAACTTCTGGATCCATCCCAATCATTAATTAATTTATTTACTTAATTAATGTCGAGAGACCCGTTATCAAAACATCTTTTATAATTAAAATATATTAACTTTGGAAATCTTTTGAACGGATCGAAATCTAAATATTATTAATTTAAATAATGAGTCTCAATAAATAAATAATATTTATTTATTTGAAACTAGGCCTGTTTGAGGGCGTTACAACTGGTGTATGAGTAACTGGTGTCATTTTAGACGCTCCCTATTTTTATTATTATATTTTTAAAACTTTATATTTATTTGTTGAAACATATAATCTATTTTTACTCATCACGCTTTACACGCAAGTCCAAACTTAACAAACTATATGTCGTTGGTCATTATTTTACGAAATCTACTAAAAACCTAATTTTTAAATAAAAAGATCAATTTTACAAATAGTTCATATTTTTGAGTTAGAAAATATTATAAAATATTATATCTATTTTTATTAAAATGACAGTTAACTACCAAGCCGTTTTTTGGGTCAGTACAGGGGCATGGAAACCATCAATTTTACAAGGTCTCGCCAAAGGGAGTGTTATCCGATCCTATCAATATAAATAATATTTCTTAGTATTATGTTATACACATACTTCTAAATAATAATATGAACAATGTTACCATATGATTAAGTAATACTCCCTTCGTTCCAAATTTATCTTTCTTGTTATTATTACAATCTCTCTATAACTTATATTTATTTTTACTAACTAAAAAGTACTACATAATTACTTAAGATATCAAGCACTTGTACATTGCTGATAGGATAATGTTTTTTCTGTAATTTGACTTTTTCGATCTCTAGTGCAATACAATGATGATTAATATGTATGATTATAGTTAATTACTTTGCGTTATATAAACCTAAAGTATTCTATGGAGTAAATCCATAAATGATCCATTAGGCCGGTGAGGTAGCGCTTGACATAAGGATGCTACAAGAAAGAGATCTCAAATTCGAAGACTGGTGGTTGCAGTGAAGGACAATCATGCAAATAATGGGATCTCTACAAGTACGAGCTACAAAACTTCAGCCCTACACCAACTGGTTGAGATTATATATATCTCAATTTACCTCATCTCAACTACTTGCTTAACTAGTGTTGAGGAGCCAATGGGGATATGGTTCATCTTTTTTTTTGTAAATTATCCCATATAACAAGATGTCAAGATGTTTTCCATATATAGTTTCACTTCTAAGAAATTACATCCGTAGTCCTTGATATTTGAGAATTATTCCATAATTAGTCATTTGAACACTATATATGGAAAACAATATCTGAGCCAAAAGAGTGACTATAGAACCGTTTTAAAAGAGTGAGGATGATCATGAATGTAATTTTTAAAATTGGAGACCCTATGAAAAATATCATATAATAAGGGATGATTTGTGAAATTTACTCTATTCTATAATTACATTTCAAGAAGCTTATGAAATTAAATTAAAGCTATTCACCTAATCTCACAATTTTTTCGTACACAAAGTGACGAGAATTTAAAAATGTAAAATTGTAAATTATAAAAAAAGCTCTAGTTATTTTGACAACGTTTGTTTTAATATTATAATAAGAGCTATGGTGCAGCGATAACAAAAAACTAAACTAATGGTTCTGACCCCCCCAACCTTCCACTTCGTCTCTGCCCCTCACCCCAGCACCCCTGCCCCCTCTCTAAAACGCCGAAATTAGTGAGTGTTGTCAAAAGAAAGAAGTCATGTTAAAAAATGAGATGAAGTGAGAATGAATGTGAACCACAAAAGTATGACTTAATATGCTATCAACCAAATTTAATTTAGTGAAAGGAACAAAAGATAAAAAGAGAAAAAAGTGGGACATAGAGTGTACTAAACACATAATATAACTCAACATGTTTATATGCTAATCATAATCAAAATTTAAAAACATTGATCATAAAAATCAAAACGTGACACTAAGAGTTTTTTTAGGACTTGAAAAAAAAGAGTCGGATGTTGGAAGAAATTAGAAGAAACTAGAAGAAACTCGAAAAACTGGAAGAAATGGGAAGAAACTGGAAAACCTAAAAAAGCTTTAAAAAATTTATTTTAGTGTAGTTTTATATTATTCTCATTCTAATTATTATTATTATTATTATTATCATCATCATCATCATCATCATCATCATCATCATCATCATCATCATCATCATCATCATCATCATCATTATTATTATTAATTCCATCATCTCCGATGGAGCCAAAATTTCACCGTTTTTTGGCTTTGGGTGTGATGGAATAAATCAAAATGGATCGCTAAACTGTCTGCGCTTCTTTAATTAATGAAGTAGCAGTTAGTTAAGCAATGCAACTTTCGACATTGAGCCGGGGGTCTCTTTAGAAACAGCCTCTCTACTTTTGAGTAGAGGTAAGGTCTGCGTACACACACCCTCCCCAGACCCTACTCTTGTGGGATTTAACTAGCTTGTTGTTGTTGTATTATTATTATTATTATTCTTATTCTTATTATTATTATTATTATTATAAGAGTAACTTCCTAAAATAGTCCTTTGTAATAAAGGGGTTTCCCAAATTAGTCCTCAATAAGTTTTAATTACCTATGTGGTCCTCTATAATTGAGATTTATTCTCAAAATAGTTCTTTGAAATAAGATGTTTTCCTAAATCAGTCCTCAATAAATTTTAATTACCTATGTGGTCCTCTATAATTGAGATTTATTCCCAAAATGGTCTTTCGTAAATAATGTTACTTAAATGAGGATTAATTGATGAAATTTTTTCTCTTCTAAATTTAGAATCAATTCTTAAAATAATCATTTATAATGAAATGCTTTCTCAAAATGGTTTTTCTAATTAAAGATGTGTATTTAGTTTAAAATTTAAAAGATTTTTTTAAGTTTTATAAATGTATTTCGTTTATCTTTATGTAATAAGGTGTTTCCCAAATTAGTCCTCAAATGAGGATTAATTGAGAGATATTTTGGTATTTTGATCATCCAAATTTAAAGTATGTTTTCGAAACAATTATTTATGTACAACTAAATGTAAAATATAAAAAAAATACATTGACTATAAATAATTTATGAATTATTTAAAACTTAAATAAAACTTTTAAATTTAAAATCAAATACACATCTTTAATTAGAAAAACCATTTTGGGAAAACACTTCATTATATATGATTATTTTAAGAATTAATTCTAAATTTAGCAGATAAAAAATACCCTCAACTAATCCTCATTTGAGTAATATTATTTATGAAAGACCATTTTGGGAATAAATCTCAATTACAAAGGACCACGTAGATAATTAAAACTTATTGAGGACTAATTTAGAAAAAACCTTATTACAAAGGACTATTTTAAGAATAAATCTCAATTATAGATGACCACGTAGGTAATTAAAACTTATTGAGGACTAATTTGGAAAAACCCCTTACTACAAAGGACTATTTTGAGAACTTGCTCAAAATTGTTTTATTCATACTAAAACGTTGAAGAAAAAATAATAATGAGTGTTAACATAAAAGTATTGAGATGAAAAAAATAATTTATAAACTATAATTATGAACATAATAGTTGTAATAATAATAATAATCACATTAAGATATATTATTTTTGGATTAATTGATTGGAGAGTAGAAAGAGTTTGAAGAAAATGAGAATAATTAGAAAAACTTGAAGATACTAAAAAAACTAGATGAACCGAAAGAAATTGGAAGAAAATGAAAAAAAATTGAAGGAACTAAAAGAAACTGAAAATTAAGAGGTAAAGTCCTAAATTACCCACACGGAAGAGAAAGGCACAAATACCACACGATGCCAACAACTTTAAAATGTTATGCTTCGTATCAAAGTGAGATGTAACCCTCTCTAAAATTTGATCGACAGAAAACCAAATTCAGCATTGGAGAGTTAATTAGATAAATTGAGTGAGCTTACAGATATGTCTTCCCTATCGGTTTCATAGGCTCTGTACAAATTAAAGCTCTTCATTCTCCATATAATAACAATACAACAACAACAACAACAACAACAACAACAACCCAGGTGAATCCCACAACAGTAGGGTCCTCCATATAATAACAATATAAACACGAAATATATACACATAAAAAGAATGAAGCATAATGAGAATACAACTACACTCTACATAAAAGAAGAGACTAACCCTACCCTCCTTGTACAGGGCATTTCCCACAGTCTAATTTCGGGCATGTACGGGTAGTAGTAACTGTGCTTGCACTAGCACTAACACTATCAATGGTGGATCCAAATGAGTGGGAATCGGATGCAGTGGAAGATGTTCGCGTAGGCCTGTGAGATCTTCTGTACCTAGACCCTGGGTATCCTGGTCTTGTTGGTTCTTCATCTAGAGTGCCTGGCTTTTTTGATAGCATTACTACAACACGTCGCATGGTGGGCCGTAGCTGTGGATCGGATTGGGTGCATAGCAAACCGATTTGTATGCACATTGCCACTTCGCTGGGTATGGCAGATGGTGCCAACACCGGATCCAATATCTCCAAGCTTCTTCCTTTCATGTAGAGCTTGTATACCTGCATTCACGTGGAAGAAGTTACTACAAACCATGTTCATATTCAATTCATAATCCGCACATTTTCCACATATTTTTATGAGAAAAATTATGCCATATGATCCATTATGGATATTGAAGTGCTAAATTAACTAAAAACCTCCGCAACGGTCTGATAACATGTAAAACTCATTTTACATGCATCACTTTTAACATTAGCGGTTTAACAAAAGTTGTGTTTGACTGTTTCGTGTCTAGCAGTTAGACTAATATGAGTGTGGTTCTTGTGACACTTCACACCAGTGTCGTTTGATTTCGAAGTAGTTCATATCCTCCTAATCCCCCTTGAACCTTCACCCCCAATCCCCCTAGCCCACGGGTGACAATCCACAGTCAACTTTTTGCTAGTGGATTGTAACCTAAATTAATGTGGGGCTACAAGGGGCTGGGGTTGGGGTTGGGGTTGGGCCGGGGCCTGGTGGTGGGAGAAAAGAACCTCATTCATATGAGTGACTTTTGAAAGTAATCAATATGTCATAATGTCACAGAAGTGTTTGCTAAACTTAACACTTTGGTGGCCTGAAATTTGGCGCCAATTAAAAAATTCAAACCATATTAATGCCATCAACTAATAACATATCAGAGATAATTTGTATGTGGGAAAAAATCATTTCGACCCCCAGCGTATCACCCAGTGTATTGGGGTGGAGGGTATGCATAACTACTATAATTTACTTACTGCATCATCTCTCTCTTCCTTGTCAGTGCCACATCAGTATCTACTAATTTCATACTTTTCATACGACAAGTGGGAGTGTATATATTCCAATTCGCCTATCATTTTTAAAAAATTGACTTAAACTAATAATATAAATTGATTTTAAAATAGTTTTAAAATAATTAAATTATTAATGCTTTGTAATTGATTTTAAAATAATATAAAGTGTAAATATTTAATTAACACGACAATAATGTACGTGATAACATTTCATTTATTTAACAAAACTACAATACAAAATAAAAATAAAATACCAACACAAAAAAATAGTAGGAAAAAAACTAAAATAACAAATTTTTAAATACTCCAGGGTATTTAATAGGCCTTCTCTTGCCATTGATGGCCGACTCTGAAATTGGTGATGTATATACAGGGCTCTTTTTTTTTTTTTAATTCTTTTTAAAATAAAGAGTGAAAAAATAGTCATTCTAATGCTTCAGTATACTCGCCAAATACACAGACCTTCATGCCAATTTTTTTGTTACCCTCTTTGGCAAAAATGCCACATAAGCTCGTTGTGGTACCAAAATGATTTTACTGTGTTCATGCATTCCACCCTCAAACTCTTAAATTTGATCCATCAACTATCAACCTCAGGTTACTTTTGGTCCCCTGGTAGACATGCCGTTAAAATCATTCCAGCTCACACATTCAGACAAAACCATCCTCTTCCAACAACACCAAACCAAGTCTTGCAAAACTAAAGAGTTAACCTCTAACAATCTTTTGTTCTTTTTTTTCTCATCCAAAAGATTGAATCTTCTTTTTAATATTAGTAAACTCAATCGACTAAAAAGGTTCAATCATTAATCCTAAAATGGCGAAGCATTTCACTAGCAGTGGTCCTATTTATGTCTCTTTGTTTTCAATCTCCTTAACAGGTTTCTCCTGGTTGAGCTTAATAGCCTTTCAAACATCACCCGAACCATGAATCTCTTGTATAAGTGCATAAAAAGTTTTCGCAAATGAATTCCAACAATGTCCCTGTGATTTTGAGGTTGAACCTCCGGCATTTTTGCATTACCAGACAGGGAAGATACCTCCAGTAGGGTACTAGGGTAAGTACTGAACAAAAGACCCAACACATTTTCTGTTCTTCATCAACCAACATGTAATCACTAGAAGAGAATGGTTCATCTTTACCAGCGATTTTACACCCACTATACACAACGTCACAACGTCACAACCTCCACCCATCACTGTTTCAGTGTGGTTCTAAAGACATGTTTTATGTTTAACAGAGGGACTAGAGGGATTTGGATTTGATAGTTGAGGGACAAGAATAGGAGTTTATCCAGTTTGTCATACTAAAAGTATTCTAGAGTTTATTATTGAAGTTATCTACTACCTATGTGAAGCTGCAGAAAAGTAGACAAACATCAACTCAAAATAATTTCCAAAGAAGGCCACACGAATCAAAATAGGCAGACTCTTACCCATTCAAGTAGATTCTGAGAGCCTGGATCTTGGTTGAAGGTTGAATTCTTCTGGCCACTGATCAGCTCCAACACCACAACACCAAAGCTGAACACGTCTGCCTTCACAGATAGGTGGCCATGCATGACATATTCTGGCGCCATATAACCACTGTTTAAAGTTAGCAGCAACTGAAATAAGGTTCTAAATAATGACATCTAATCTAGTCTAGTAGGGTAACTGAATAAGTATAAAAATGGAGGCCTGGTGCACAAAGCATGCCTGATGAGAAAGACAAGGGTGTGATGTAGGCAAACCTTACCTTGCATTTCTGCAACAGGTTGCTTTCAGAACTCTAACCCATATGCTAAGGCTCTCCTTCTCTAGTAGAATAAGCCTCATTGCAATATCTGAGGGGGTGTTTCTATGTGGTGCTTATTGTTGATAAGTAGTTTTTAACTTATAAGCTGATTATTAAACTATTTTTTGTAAAGAAACTTAAATGAGAGCAGAGTCATTCAGAGATATTCATAAAAGGTTATTGATAGTTCTGTTAATGATTTGGTCAAAATGAAGAAACAAATAAACAGGCTTAAGTATAAGTAGGTAAGACCTACTTATTTTTTTTATTTATAAGCGGAGCTTATAAGCACATAGAAACACCTAATCAACTAACATAAGTGAAAAACAACTTATAAGTAGTTTTGACCAACTTATAAGTTCAGAGAAACACCCACTTAATGTCATCACTTTCATATATATAGGTTTCATTGATACATACTTGGTGCCGGCGACACGAGTATTGACATGCGTTTGATCTTCAGGGAATAGTCGGGCCATTCCAAAATCCGCAATTTTTGGCATCCATTTATCATCAAGTAAGATGTTGCTCCCCTTAATGTCGCGGTGAATTATGCAATTATGTGAGTCTTCGTGAAGGTAAAGTAACCCTTTGGCTATGCCATTAATTACATCATGCCTTCTTTTCCAATCAAGTATATCTCTTTTACCAGACTCTGGATAAAAAATATTCTAGTATGTGAAAGCTTTACAAAAACACGGACACGCGCGCAAACACACAGACACACCCATTTTGAACAAGACATCAAGCACCATATCACCTCAGAGTAATACATTATTTAATTATAAGAAAATCAGATATGATTAAAAGAACCTAAAAGTTTAGTGTAGCACACAAATTAACGAATACAATGAAATTTTTAAAACTAAATTATATAAACATACGTACTGTCGTATTCAAAGAGAATATTAAATGGATCAAATATCTAATGACCATATCTGCATCCATATATAATCGAGAAATCAACAATTGGATATAATCTGCTTCAATGGATACAGATGCAGATGGTCCGAATTTGACTACGCATTTAGAGCCCTACTTGTAATAATGATATTGCTTGTACAAATGAGATCTTCACTTCTTTTAACTCAGCTTTCTCTCTAGTGCTTAATAAAGGTAATTACCAAGCTGAGACTAACGGCCAAATATACTTGCCAAAATGAGTATCAGTAACTTAAAATCAAGTTTCGCTTGAATCTCTCACACTAATTCTTTACATTGTCATCATCATAGAAACTCACTCATGCTGTATATTAAAAAAAACAATGACATATACTTCCTCTATCCGGATTTTTTGGTCCATTTCTGAAATATACCTAAACCCGGTTTCAAGACATTTTGAGAAAATAATAGGCTTGTTAATTCATCAACTCTATAGCCATGCAATACTTCACAAAAAGAGGACTGGTAGTAACATGTGAGGAAGGGAAAAAACTTACTAAAGAGAATCTTGTCAAGGCTCTCGTTTGAAATAAATTCATAAACAAGCAATTTTTCTTCCCCCTGAGCACAATATCCCAGCAAATTCACCACATTTCTGTGTTGAACTCGTGCCAATACCTTTGCCTCAATCTGAAACTCTCTTTTCCCCTGCCTTGAGCTCCGTGACAGTTTTTTGACAGCTACTTCTCTCCCATCACGCAATATTCCCTACAAAGATCAAGACACCTTTTAGATTTCCTCTTTTCGATTACTATATATTCACAGGTTTTACACACAAAAATCCCCAAAAAGTGCCAATTAGTGAGAGAGATACTCCTTATAAGCCAAAGTTGATATTTTTCATTGTTTCTCAAAAGCCAAGAAACAATGTTAAAATATTCAACTTTGGTTAAAGTTATTTGCCTTATAAACCGGGCCAAATCCACCCTCTCCAAGCTTGTTACTGGGATGAAAATCATTGGTTGCAGAAACAAGGGTTTCGAAAGTGAATTGCTTCTGCTCTTGTGCTGCAATTCTCTCCAAGTCATCTCGATTTGAACCTATTGATTTGTCAAAAAAAGCACATAAGAACGAAGAAAAGGAAAGTGAAAAGGCTCAGTAAATCAAAGCATTTCAAGAAAACACTAAAACAGACTCAATTAAGCCCTAAAATAACTGATGGAGCAGGAAAATTACCTCTCTGGGAGCTAGAAAAAAAGGGTTTCATGATATTGTCAAGGAAGCTTTGAGATTTTTTCATGACAGTTGGAATGGAGAAATGACTTTTAGTTCATTTGAATGGTCAGATATCTTGAAATATTCGTTTCAGTTCTGAAAAACAAACGGTGGGGGGGGGGGGGGGGTTGTTACACGGATTTGGCCATCAATGAGAATGGTTCTTGGTTAGTCCATTCTCCATTGTCTCTATAACACAGATTTTCCAATGACATTTCCGATGGGTCGAACAAATGGAACGATGATGCGTTGTGATTAATGAGCCTAGCTAGTTGACCACAGATTGACTATCAGAGGAACAGACGAAAAGTCTTACAAGAAACCTCTGCATACGGAAAAGCACGAAACTTTTCTATTTCAAGAGAGAGCAAGGCTATTTGATATGTGGTGTGCCTCCCCCTTTTGTCTTCCCGCAGTCCCGCTAAAGGATAAGTCTACATTTATACCAAAATTTGTATCACAAACTTACACCAAAGGTATACATGAACATTTTGATGGTTCATACTGACATAAAATATTGATTCGTTAACAAAAATTAGCATTACACCAACACAAAATGTTGGTGCACACCCGCGATGTACAAAATGAGGTACAAACCCTTGGGGTACAAGTAGCTTTATCCCCTGCTACATACCATGAACCAAAATTGTATTCAATATAAAGATTAAAACCATTACCTATTAATATCGAGGAATTAATAGCAAAGATAAAAAACACTAAATTAGATGTTTTGAAAAACTTCCTTGTACACTACATTCGTTGTGGTATTTGAGGGTGTTAGGTCGTCATTACGAATCAAGACCTTCCAACCACGTCGATTGGTTACTCGAGAGACAACAACGTAAAGTTGGTCATGACTAAAAATTGGTTTCTTGAACAATAATCCCACATGCTTCAATGATTGGTCTTGACTTTTGTTAACTTTCATTGTGTAAGACGTCAAAATAGGGAACTGCTTCATTCCATTGAAACACCATTAATAATGTGGGTTTGGTCGGGTGTCTCAAAGTAAATAACCAACTGCTTCTTCTTTTTCGTAAAACGATAATTCGTGGATCAATGTAAATTATTACTCTACACAAACATCAACACATGGATCTTTTGGGTTGCACAATCTCACATGGCTCAATGTAAAAGTAAATGATAAAGTTGAATGTTTCGAGTAGTGGTTAGGAGTTGTCCATTCAATGCTTCGTATTTCAATGTTCCTTTGTAAGTCTAGCAGTTTCATAATTGTTTAGGCCATTAATGGTTTTTGGTGGGTGGCTCAATGTATATTATTACTTAATTACTTTACACAAAGATCAACGCATGGGTCTTTTGGGTTGCACAATCACACATGGTTCAATGTAAAAACTAATGATAAAATTTCCCTTGTTTCAAGGAATATTTAAAATAAATGGGTGAGCGCACCCAATGTACCCACTGATGGATTAAATGTAATTTTACTCATTTAAATTAAATTCAGTGCACTATTCATTTCAGGATTATAAAAATAATCTTATAATGTTTTTTGTCAAAAGAAAATTACACAATCTTTTTTTGAAATTACCCTCCTTTACATACATTAAATGTTTATTACGTTATCCAATGTTTAATTGGTTATATTGGTTCGTGGCTCTATGTGTGAAAACTTGTTTGTTAGAAGAAGTGACCAACGCTAGAGGGGGGGAGGTGAATAACGTTTGATCATAGAAATCACAAGAATAAAAATTTAAAACGTGAAACGTAAAGAGCGTAGAAAGCGTTAAGTAAAAGAGCAAGGAGAATTGAAATAGATTGTGTTTGTGTGTGTAAAAATGAAGAGATGGAGTCCAAATATATAGGGAGAGGGGTTCCCAACGTTCAAAACTTTGAAAAATGGCTGTTGGAGCAATTATTTCAATGTCCAACGGAAATTTTTTTTGAAAAATTCAAGGTGAACAACGATGTTCAATAGGCTACATCGCTGTTGAGACGTCGATGTTGTGCCTTTCTACATCGCTGTTGTGCGTTAAGTTTAAAAAGCAGGTGTCAAAAGAACAACGATGTTAAGTACCCTAAAGCGATGTTCCAAAACATTCTGGAAATGTGTGAGGGAATGAACCCATTAGAACAGTGCTGTTGGGTTTACCTACATCGCTGTTTTACGATAAGGAAAAAATTTGTAAAAATGGACTGTGATGTTGCACAAACGTACATCACTGTTGAAGAACTTTCTGGTTTTGATTGGAAAAATGGTGTTTGAAGTAACATCGATGTTGAAAATGCTACAGCGATGTTAAAAAAGTTTCTGGAAAACATAGAGTAAGAGGACTCTATGTGACAGCGATGTTGGGTTATCATACATTGTTGTTGGTTCATGTGAGGTCGACGGTGTTTCCCTCAACAGCGCTGTTGGTCACCTTGACATCGCTGTATGAACAACGATGTTGTCCTCCTTACAGCGATGTTTTCATGGTTCCCCCTGATTTTATGAATGGGGTACCTGCAAAAAAGAAAAAGTTCTCCGACGCTTAAGTTATTAAACGTTTAACAAGTTAAAATGCACAACTTAGATTATCATGGAGTCAAGGATTCCGAGTTCACTTTGAATGCGGAAGAACGACTCTTTCTCTAAAGGTTTTGTGCAAATGTCGGCTTATTGGTTGTGTGTTTCAATGAACTCAATTTCGACATCACCTTTGAGAACATGATCTCTAATGAAATGATTCCTAATGTCAATGTGTTTCATCCTTGAGTGAAGAACGGGGTTCTTCGTCAAGCTTATGGCGCTAGTATTATCACAACAAAGAGGAACGTGATTGATACTAAGGCCATAGTCCACGAGTTGTTGCTTCATCCAAAGGATTTGAGCACAACAACTACCGGCGGCTACGTATTCCGCTTCGGTCGTGGATAACACAACACTGACTTGTTTCTTACAAAACCATGAGACTAGAGAACTACCAAGTAAACGGCAAGTCCCACTCGTACTTTTACGGTCCAATTTTCAACCGGCAATGTCTGAGTCAGAGTAAGCAACGAAATGACAAGAAGAACCTTTGGGATACCACTCTCCAACGTTAACCGTGCCAACAAGGTATTTCATGATCCGTTTTACCGCCGTTAAGTGCAATTCCTTCGGACATGATTGATACCTTGCGCAAAGGCATACGCTAAACATGATATCCGGCCTACTAGCGGTAAGATAAAGAAGGGATCCGATCATACCTTGATACTTTTTGACCTCTACTTCCTTACCTTTCTCGTCTTTGTCAGGATGGTCGGATGTGCTCATCGGGGTCGCCATGGCTTTAGTGTTTTCCATTTCGAATTGTTTTAGGAGTTCTTTACAGTACTTAGTTTGGCAAATGAATGTGCCATCTCTCATTTGCTTCACTTGAAGTCCCAAAAAGAACATGAGCTCACTCATCATTGACATTTCGAACTCACTAGTCGTTAACTTGGAAAAATCCTTGCACAAAGACTCGTTAGTAGCACTGAATATAATATCATCTACATAAACTTGAACCAAAAGAATGTTGTTGTTTTTACTCTTGATAAAAAGTGTAGTGTCAACCTTTCCCCTTTGGAAGCCACTATACAAAAGAAATTTACTCAAACGTTTGTACCAAGCACGGGGTGCTTGTTTAAGACCGTAGAGCGCTTTGTTAAGTTTGAAGACATGGTCGGGATACTCAAAGTCTTCAATCCCCAAGGGCTGGTCAACATACACTTCCTTGCATATTTCATCTTCTCTACATTTTTCTTGTGTGTTCTTCATCACAATGGGCAAGGACAAGAACCAGGCAGGAACCTCCAGAAAATCCAAGGCCAAATCCGACAAGACGTACATGAAACGCTACTCGAACGTCGTCACCTATGAATACAAATACTTATTAACGATAATGAGAGCTACCATGAAGTGAATGAAGAAATATTCCGATGTAAATCGATGATCAATCGATAGTACTTCCTCGTAAATGATGACAAATTCCATATCTTGAGAATCTTGGACCACTAAAAGCCATTGATGTACTTACGAAATTATTGTTGAACTATGTGAACGAGATGAAGATGACTTAAGTAACTTGAGAAAGTTACGCTATGACGTATGAATTATATAACCTTCAAATGCTCCACTACATCTATCGCGGACTTGAAACTGCAAAGCTACTAAAGGACTTTCGATCGAAGAAAGAATATTGTTAATCGACATTGTACAATTGAGAATCGTGAATGAACGAAGTGATGTGCAAATATGTCAAGTATGCTCTAGAATATGATGTTATACCCTACAAAGGACTCTTGGTTATGGATGTTGAATCTGAACGGGAACCTGCAAAAAGGATCGTTGGATACCTTCCTTAATCTAAAATTATTAATCTCTTGAAGAAAGAACAAGTCTGATAACATTGACAGTTTGAGAATACGTATATGTATGGATAATGACGAAATTATNGCTACTAAAGGACTTTCGATCGAAGAAAGAATATTGTTAATCGACATTGTACAATTGAGAATCGTGAATGAACGAAGTGATGTGCAAATATGTCAAGTATGCTCTAGAATATGATGTTATACCCTACAAAGGACTCTTGGTTATGGATGTTGAATCTGAACGGGAACCTGCAAAAAGGATCGTTGGATACCTTCCTTAATCTAAAATTATTAATCTCTTGAAGAAAGAACAAGTCTGATAACATTGACAGTTTGAGAATACGTATATGTATGGATAATGACGAAATTATGGTTTAACCAAATAAACATGTCATGGTCATGATTAAATATGATCACTACAAAATTTTGAACGTTGAGCCTTAAAAGAATTTCGAGGACGAAATTCCTATTAAATATTCACTTA